AGCAGAGGACCGTTGTTTGTGTACTCTCCCTCTGCACTGTTTAGTGCACTCTTCACAATGCCAGGCCCCTTCTGCACAGCAACTGATCACCTTGGCAAGTTGGCTGGAGAACTCAGAGATGTGAAGGGCAGACAGTCAGGATAGAGAGAGAGAGAGAGAGAGAGAGAGAGAGGGAGAGAGAGGGAGAGGGAGAGAGAGAAAGGGAAATGTAAATAATGTAAGTGCAGCCATAGAGCTCAGAAGTTCAGACTTCACAGTAAGACGGAGCTGCTCTTTGTTCTTGTCCTGCTTTTCACATTCACACAATGCACATGGACACAGAAATGCTTGTAAGTTAGTGTAGCTGCACACACAAGAACTCAGGTTTTTGCATGCATACTGTATGCACACACCTCTCCAGGTATCTTTGTGGATCAGTGCATACAACAAATTTATGTTCATGGACTGAAAAATGTCTTTGCACCTGTAATTTGAAGCTGTTGCTCTATTTCCTTACTGCTTAGCTTATCTTTCACAGGCCCTGCTCAGACCTGGTATTGCGTCCTTCCTGAGAGATCCGATCACAAGTGGACAGCGTTGAGTTCTTCTGTTCACACCCGGCAATAGAATGTGACCACTTGTGATCTGATCTCACTTCCTCCGCTCTATGTGCAAATAAACACGTACGTCGTTTGTGTCCGCAAAGAGCAAACTTTGTTGTTTTTACCCAGTTTGAATCTACAGATGTGTCCAATGATGTTTTTGTCATTTGTCGGCACGAGCGAAGTCCGGACAAACTGGATTTAAGAAGTATCGTGTATTATGCATTGGTTTTGATATTGTGGCGCTGGCTACAAACAAATCAGGGTATGGGCACAGAGGGAAACTAGCAGATCAGAGGACATCTGTTGAGTGGGCGGTTCTTCGTATGTGGCACAGAAGACATTTGCATTTGCACTGTGAAAATGTGGCTGCTTTGAGACCTGCACTCAGCGCTGACCACTTGATGGACGAATGGATTCCTCAGGATGGATGTTACAGTGTGGGAATGATTTAAACTTATAGGAATTAAAAAAACCCAACTGAAAGCTCAGAAATCTACAAAGAAAGAGATGCATGGGCACTAACGACCTAAAGCCTGTGTTGAAACATCAGCCAAAGCCCCCACCTCTTTGGTATGCTGTATGTACACTATATGCCTTATTTTTTTCTGTGCTCTGCGCCTGACGAGGACAGGTCACCCTGAGATCCCCTAGATATGTCCACCGGCCTCCAGCGCTGTCCTCCACAAAGCGTTACACACAGTCAGAGCTGCTGGGAGAGAATATGCCACCTGTCTGCTCCTCTCTCAGGCACGGGCCACGCAAACAGAGCTCTGGGGGGGATGAGCCGTAACCTTACAGAAAGTCAAATAGCCCCTGTTAAAGTGTGTGCTTGGAGTTTAGCGGTGATCGCCCACTTCTGGATGAAGACGGGTGCATTAAAGGGTGGAAGAACATGTTGTTTTGCTCTGGATTATTTCTAATGATGTTGACAGTAGCTCCCTGAATCAAATCAATAGGGTAATCAAACCATAACTACTGGCTGTATTTCAGTATGTCTATTGTCACCGTCTGTTAATTAGATTTTGTTAGTAGATGCACACACACACATTAAGTCGCGGCCCCCACAGAGTCTGAGTGGGAGGGCATGTACGCAGGTTTAAGAGGCTTAGCTGCGTAAAAGCCTTTCTCTTAATTTCCTGTCTGTGTAGTCGGGGCCCCGGAGGCGCCCGGAACAACCACCTCAACAGTCATCTCATCTCCGCCATTGAAATCAACACAGACGCCCTGGAAGGATCTTCTTCCTCGTGATCCCAGGATAATGAAGAGCATTGGCTAGCTTATGATGTTAAAGAGCGGTTCATCACAGACACATGATGCCCCCACTGGCACGGCACAGATAAATTACAGAGGTTGCTGGAATGAAAATATAGGAAGCGTATGTGAGTGTGTGTTTTGTGTTTCAAATAAAATTGACCTCTTTCACTGCGGTTAATTTGGACAGATGGAATGAAACTCTTAGCTTCCATCATCGTGACCCTCCGGACTTCCATTTACCAATCTTGTTGCGTAGCGACTCTGGATCGCTTTACTTTGTTTTCCTTGATGCGCCGCACTTCAGTGATCCCTCTGCCACAGCTCGCTCACTATCGCTGCCTCACAACCACGTCCACGAAGGCAGCGAGCGGAGGTTACACAAAGTGAGGTTTAATCATTTAAAAGCTTGAAGCTTTTTGAAAAACAAATAAACAATGAACTCTCTTTGCCTGAATAAACGATGTATGAATGAGACATTACACATTCTGAGACTTAATTAATGATAAATACATGTACATGCACTCGTACGCACTCCACGCCGCTCTCCTGCCGCAGCAACTTTCCCGTCTGCCTGAGTGAAAGCAGCCGGAATTGCTACTGTCACATTTAGAGACTGATTGATGTGATACTGCATTTCAAACCACATCACTTTCAAGCCTGCCTGTGATATCGGTCTCTTGCCTCCAGGCCTTCAATAAAAGTCAGAGAGAGTAGGTCACCCACCGGCCTGTATCTGACAGTCAGGGTGTCTCCGTCAATACTGTGACCTCTGTGGAAGCAGACAGGATTCACCTACACTCAGCTGCCCGCCCGTCTCTGCGACTGTACCAACATCACACGGAGGCATTTATCAGCTCTAAAGCGTAGAGGTCGATCCTCCGGGAATGGCGAGCGCGTCGTGGCATTGCCGGCCACACACACTCAAGAACTGTGCCCTCTAAATAAGTGACGATAATTAGAGCTGCTATGTGCATCTCGTGCGGTTCCACAGCAACAGCAGGAGCAAATTAAAAAGTCCCGGCAGTGACATTGATCCTGTTTTCCTCTGTGGGCAGTTAAAACACTGTGGAGTCATTCTAATAGACATCTTCCCTCGTTGCTCGCTGTTTTCTGTCTCTTCTGTTTTTCCATTCTTGGGGAAAAGGTCCATGTCGACAGGGTTGGAGACTATCATGGTTGGGTCGTGAAATTCTGCACCAATCAGGCAGCGGTTCCTACCCGGCTGGTTCCTAGTGAACCGGATCACGACGCAGATTTCAGTGCCTCATTTACACCTGAGCTATGAGCTGAGATAGTCGCCCCGCTTACAAGCAACATAAACATCACCACGTGTGCTTATTTAACGTTTAAACATTAATGTTCGCCTACAGCTAGCTCGTAGCTGCCTCAAACTCCGGTCGACACAAAATCAAAATGTCCAAAGCTGAAGGGTTGAAAGTGTGGCTGCATTTCAGGTGAAAGGACTCCGACAGCATGCATTCAATGTTTGAAAATGATTCTGTAAAGGGAGGAACGCAACAAACGTAATAAATAAACCTGTCGACGCATATTCACGTCAGCCGGCAGTGTGGGCGCCCCAGGGTCCGAGGGTGGGGAGACAATTAATGAGAAGTTTAGAGCTGAAGTCTTTTGCTGTATTAAGCACTGAAACTGTTATTATTTCTACTATTTCATACATTATGTGATGTTTGTGTAAATTTGTTGAAAGTTTGGCACTTATATATTTAAATTTAAGTATACATCAAACTGTTTACATGTTATATATTCAATTTTTTACCTCAAATTTTTAATCAATAAAAAAAGACATTCTATCATTGCCAGTATCTGTCCTGGCACCTGTACAATTTTAAAACTATTGATTTGGCCCCTGTCTCATGGCTCCTAAGTGGGGGTCCAGTAGAAAGTTCCAAAGATGTCATAGGATCATGTCCCAGCTACGACCTGTGTTTACTAACCAACCAATAGAACTGCTGCGTGAAATGGCGCACCACAGCACTGTTAACCACTCCAGCTCATAAAGTCTGTCACCCAGCTCTATTAGATTCATGTTGCACAGTGTTGCTCGCAATAACCTTCTAACCCTGCTGAGATCTCACAGTCCGTCGGTGCCTGAAGAGTCATGGAGAGTGAGAATGGGAGATTCCCTTTAGACCAGAGGGCTCGGCAGGGTCAACAGTGTGTGTGAGGGGAGATAATATCCTCCGTATATATAACTCACTGCTATCTCACGCTTTTTTTTCCTCAGCAATATTTCTCCCGTTGGTGGTATGAATATTTGAAGAGCTCATTATTTACCTTCAATCCGGCTGTGTTGTCCTGTTGCGTAAGCTCCAGGTCTTTGCACGACATTCTGCACCGAACATTTCCACACACACACACACTTTCTGAGGATTTTCCTATCTTCAAAAAAGATGATGATGATTCACTTAAAGTTTGGGGACTGACTGTGTGTTTTCTCTTTTCTTTTACAGTTAGAACAGATCCAGAAGCACACGTGGTACATGTAAGTATTTTTCCTTTTTGTTTCTACCCCCTTCTCCTCCTCCTTCTCCTCCTCCTCCTTCTCCTCCTCCTTCTCCTCCTCCTCTTGCAGCCCGTTCTGCAGGACTCACAGACCTGAGGGGAGCTACCGCATGATAAACGACTTTCTGCTCCGGCGCTGTACACGAGAGTACCTTTGAGTGGGGCATGACTCCACTCTCGGGGATGTGGGGGTAAATTGGTAGTGCATGAAAGAGGACGCGCCACATATGCTAGGCTGAGCAGGGAGCAGGGGAGGAGGAGGGGAGAACGAGCAGGGATGAAGGGGAGAGGGTGAACCCACCTAACCTCTGAGTTCCCACCATTTAACTTTCATAACAGAGTGTTTCCACCTTTTACGACCGACATAAATCTTTTAAGGACATTTGTAGTGCATGTCAGTGTGTTTGATGTCCGAATCTTGCATGTGGAGATATTTCTTGACATCCTCCCCCTAATTATCACATTATCACCATTTAGAAGTTGCAGCGGACCCATTTAGAAGTCATTCAAAGACAGGATTTTTTTTTTCCCACCTCTCTCCCAAAAGAAAACCTGTGAATCATGGAGGTTGGAGGTTGTGAGTCCTGTAAGAGGAACAGAGTTATGGTTTCTGTCGTGCGCTGAGAGATCATGCAAACAGGCAGCGAGACTGATAAAAGAAACAAGAGCAGACAAGAAGAGACGAGCTTGGAGAGAAGAGTAATGTGGTGTAACTGAGGAAGATGCCTGACTCTCTCTCTCTCTCTCTCTCTCTGACTGGCTGACGCATAAATGAATTAATGAATGAAAGAAAGGGGATTTTTTTTTGTTAAACAAATGCGGCTACTAGTTAGTAGTTCATGGCATTGAAACTACAACTTTAAATTTTTTCAGATTGTCCACTCATTATTTGTGTGATGGTTTGATTACTTTGTCTAATGTGATTAATGCAAATAATATCAGAATACCACATACATCTTAAATCAGTAATTGCTTATTTTCAGTATAATCTCATAGTCTTATCCAGACTATGGCTTAATTGGGTTAATTTCAGAATATTGGCGTCCATGTAAACGTAGTTGTTGAACAGAGCAGAGCTTTGACCAAACAGTTTTCACCAGCTTCACACATCATGAGCAGAGGACACACATACTCTCAGTGACCAGTTTATTAGGGAGCTACATCCAATCCAATGAAAGAGTTGTGCATTAAATTCACCTTCATTAACATGATATATTTTGTTGAAGAGGCTGATTTAACTTTGCAGCCGTGTGGTTGGCTGTGGTTTGTGGTGGGGTTGGATTTTATTGCAGGTCCAACAGTTTCTATAAAACTTTGAACAAAACCGACCTCATAACTTTAATTACTGCAGGATTTATTGCAGTGCTGTTGCAATAGGCTGCATTGTTTTAAAGAGGTGGACTAAATAAACTGGCATCTGAATCATATGTTTACAGGAGTGACAGTGAGGTCTTGTTTTTATTTTCAGTTTTATATACCTGCAGTGAAACCGGGATTGAAGGTTTTACATTTTACTGCGCTCACTGGAGGACGAAAAATAGATTCAGGGAAAGAACTCGAGGGGGTTACATACTGACGCAAACCTGTGTATCACAGTGTGTATACTGCGTAAAAGTATGTGTGTGTATCGATGCAAGAGATGCATATTCAAAGAAAGAAATGACATGACCATAATGTTGTCTGTGAGTGTCTGGGGGGAAAAAAGAATAAAACACGAAAGAGGAGAAAGGGAGCGAACTCAAAACTTAACAGCGATGACTCAGTAGTCGTCTGTTTTTATCTTCGTGAGCGTGATGACCAGAGTTCATCCTCTGAAGTTAACATGCAAAGTGACTAAACCTGCGGAAAGTACGTGACCGTGAATGTTTTATTTTTATAATGTCAAACAGGGTCCTAATGAGTAAAAAACATGTTGCCTCAGATGACCGAGAGGCAAACAAACACAGAGATAGTTCACATGGTGTCATTTATATGCAGAGTAAGGTTTTATATTTATGTTTATATTTAACGATGTACAGTACTAGTGACGGATGACGAGTTGTTCTTATTTGCCCTATAATCTTTTGCGTTCCCAGAGGGGGGAAGAACGAACCAGAGCCAGAGCAGCCCGTGCCCAGGAAGGTGACGATCCGCAGCCTGCCCTCCGCAGACGATATCGACCCCGACGTACTGGACAGCATGCACTCCCTGGGCTGCTTCAGGGACAAAAACAAACTACTGAAAGACCTGCTGTCAGAAGAGTGAGTGAAGGCAGGAGCAAAAGGGAGGGACGGGCAAAAGAAAGAGGTTTTGATGAAGCGGAACAGACAGTGGCTACGAAGCAGAAAGGGAAAAATACTGAAGTTTGTCTTGTTCAAATAGGGGGAAAAAATAAAAGCAGCTGGAGAGGACAGGGTTGTGCTGTGGTTTCAATGAAAGGAGAGAATGGGACTTCAGTGGAAGGACGGTTGTGTGATGTCCGTCTTGGCCTTGGTGGTTTTTTCTCCCATGAGGCTTTTCATCACAGATGTCTGAAGCCAAAGATCTCCGCTGTTATCACACAGCACTGACTCCACTCACTCCTGGAAAATTTCCCCCAAACCGATCCATTCTCCCAGGTCACATTTACACGTTTGTGACTTTTCATTTACGCTCAGAATCTTTTCTACACTTAAATAATTTTTCCCTCCATTTTATATCATCCCTGCTTCTTGCTTTTAACACAAAACAAGCATCACTGTATAACTTCCCCATCTCTTCCGTTTTCCCTCCTGTCTCCTGGGAGCATCCCATAATAGTGCTGGACTGGAGGAAAATCTGCTGTCTCTATCTCCCCGCTCTCGGTTCATTTTAGCTGAAGTTGCAGGTCCTTGTCTCTTTGCCTCCTACTGCTTTCCAATCTGTCTTTATTATGGAGGGCCAATCCCTGGGCCTTTTGCATAGCGCGCTCTGGCCTAGAGGCTAAATATATTAGCTTTTCTGATTTACTGCGAGAGAAAAGGGATAAACTCGTAATGTTGCGGTACTTTCGTAAACTTACCAGCAGAAGCAGCATATGGAGTTGGGGCATATCCTAAAACATATATGCAGAATATAATATGGCAGCTTAATGATCTGTAAAACTAAACTTTTGTTTTAACGATGGAAGCAATTTAGTGGCACAGTTTCACAAAGGACTTGAAAAGATTAAAAGACATTTATCACAGTGAGGATTTTTGCAGTTGAACATTTTAAGCATGCGCAGATCTCGCTGGTGCTCATACTGTACATAATCTATAAATCTGACTGTATGCTTGGTTGTGTAGGTATTATCTCTGAACATTCATTTTATTGCCTCCCCCTTTGCAGCGACAACCAAGAAAAGATGATCTACTTCCTGTTATTGGACCGCAAGGAGAGATATCCCAGCCAGGAGGACCAGAACCTCCCCCCTCGTAATGAGATCGGTGAGGATTGAGCAAAAAGTATAAATGCAGAATGTGACAAGTGTGTCAAATATCAATTTTGCCCATTGACCACATACAGACCAGCAATAAAAAAAGGTTTTCAGAAGCTGAGCTACGACTCCTGCCGGAGTGAGTTTCTAATAAGAGCTTTGCAAGAGGAAGAGTAATATGTGTGTGTGTGTGTGTGTGTGTGTGTGTGTGTGTGTGTGTGTGTGTGCCTGTGCTTGTGTGCTGTGAGATACCGACATCTTGATGAATAGACTCCCTCTTCAGTGAATGTGATACAGTCAATACAGTGGCCATTAGTTCAAGGTCTGCGAGGAAACCATTACTTATTCACTATTAGTTAAAATGTCAACATGATCAGCACTGAACATCACTCAAACACTCACATATCTGCACACAGAGCACAAAACTGTAGAAATGCGCACGTTAGCTCGTCGGCTGCATCGCGTTCATTCTGCTGCCCGTCCCTCTCCGTTCCCCACAGATCCTCCACGGAAGCGGGTCGACTCTCCCATGTTGAACCGTCACGGGAAGAGGAGACCGGAGAGGAAGTCCATGGAGGTCCTCAGTGTTACAGATGGAGGCTCGCCTGTGCCGGCCAGGAGGGCCATCGACATGACGCAGCACGGCCAACGGTACGAATGGAGGTGAAATGACGTAACAAAGAAAAATGTTTATAAAATGTTTAAAGTAGAAGGGCGCTCTCAGAGCGCATACCTCCGCCAAGGCGAGCGCACTCTCTCGCCAGCTCCAAGCGGTGTTTCCCTTTAATCAGCCGTTTTCTAATTTGTCCTACCAAATTTGTTTATGAACCAAAACATGTTGTCACACTTGTCATAGTAAAATATTAGATCTCTATCTATCTAGCACGTTGTTGGGGCGGCTGTTCGTGCATAAAAAACTCTGCTACGTCCACAGATTGAATTCATTTTGAGAGAAACGCTGCAGAGAAAGTGAAACTAAATTCCTGGATCCACGCATTTGTTCGGCTCCAGATCTTTCACACGGCCTCCTTGGCTTCCACCACGTTTCATCAGAATCCGTCCAGTAGTTTTTGTGTAATCCTGCTAATTTACTGACAAAGTGAAAACATGAACCACCTTGGTGGAGGTAATGAACGCACAGAGATACACACACTGTAGGCCTGTGTGTGTATGTACTGTGTGTGTGGGGGGGGGGGTCTTGCAGCCCAGTGGTGTTTCAGAAGGTCTGACAGCGAGTCTGGCTCTGGTGTCAGCCGGCTACATTGTGGACAAGCACAAACAGAGACTGACTCTGTGCTCGCTTTGTCTCCTGTCTCACTGTAGTAAATCAGTGTACAGTAAAAGCTTGGATATTCCTGACGCCCGTACAAAATGCAGCAAAGACGAAAGGTATTCACTTGTCACTCACTTCCCATGCTTTTCCACCTCCTCCCGCTCCTCGTCTCACCCTCATGCAAGCAGACGTGCGCGGCAGGAGAAAGATGCAGCACAGCTTTCTTTCACTTTGTTTAAAAAGGGAGATGATGTACGTGCAGCATGCGGCAGCTTCACAGGACTTTTTTTAATAAGCTATAACTCATCTGAAGAATAAACGTAAGAACGGCTCTGTCCTTCATGAGTCAACAGTTTTAGGTGAGCACTTCCTAAAGTTTGACTTAACTCTCTTAATTAACTTCATTTTCAAATTGAGGGAGCCAGCACATTTGCAATTCAGACCCACTTCTCCGCAATTATCTATTTTTTTTTTTCCTACTGTGAATGCATTGATAATCAGTTTCTCCCATACTGTGTCCCACTTTCTCCAGATGCAGAGCGCGTCTCCGTTTGCTCCCTTTTAAAAACGTTCGAGTCAAGCTGGTACCGCAGCCCGACGAGGCGCAATGGACTGATTTAAAATCTGTTTCCTCATCTTATTTCTACAGCCAATGTATCATCACGTTTCTGCTCAGAGGCAGTGACATTTCTGACAGCAGGGAAGATTGAATCTGAGGGGGTAATAACCTGATCTGCCTAATGATAGGCAGATTGGCAGAGTGCTGCAGAAAGCTTTCAGACATATAGGGCCTGAATGCAGAAGCACTGAATGTGTATGTATAGGGATAAAAAAAAATATACTTATAATGTTGAATATTCATCCAAATGTCAGATGCATGAGAGCCTCTTCACCCAGTTCGGTCACAACACTTATGCTTGATTCTTTCTGTCTTCGGGTGCATTTGAATTTCATTTGGAGATTAATCTTCCTGTGTTTTATCGCCTCTGCTGGAATCCGTCATCCCTTCCACCGATCCAGAGTCTTATCTCTTCTATATTTAAAGGTTGCGATAGTTTAGAAGCTGCTTTCCTCTGCTCTTCGCTCTGAATTCCCTCACAGGCCAGTCTGGTGTGATTTTATCCAGCATTAATAATAACTTTTTAACACCAGAGCCCAGCACGGGTCCATTTTTGCAACCAGAACCCACAAAGACGAGTCAAATCCAGACCCATTGACAAATGTCCTGATGCGTTACCTTTGATTAAACACAATCTCTCATGTAATCTGGGTTCCGGTCTTCTTGTCCTCCACTTGTGTGTACTTAAAAATAATCTGTGTGTCACCTGAGCTCCTGCAGCTGTCAATACGTCTTTGGCACTTTTTTTTTTTTACAAGCAGCAAACGTATTCACCACTGTCATCCATTTTAACGTACAAGCCACGTGGCTGTCGGTGGTGACAGGTACCTTAGCATGTAAGTGAAGGAGTCAAAAGTGGCGTCGTAGGCTTTCACAATAAAACAAATCGTTGCGGCTCTCTCTCAGATTCCATTGAGATGTTAAAATTATATTTCTCTGGGGAAAAACAAAACGTATGCTTAAGTTCTCGCCTGCTGCTCGCACGTTTAGTTCACTTTTACCCCTACCTGTGAATGTATAACCGTTTCACAGTGGGTTACCAGTCAGTAGCTGAGTGGATTACATCATAAAGGGCGGTGAAATTAGTGGTTTAAACCTTTATTACGAGGAGCTTTACTCATGTAAATCTCAGTAAGAAGGCACCTCTATATATAGCAGCAGATGAAACACGGTTAGTGTCTGAATCCCAAATACATCAGTAGCTGCCGTCATTAGAAAAGCTCCGCTGCATCTTTCTTCCGTGCGACTTTAAATCAGTGTATTGTTCATATTCCTCCACCCAAATCTCTCTCCTCCGTCCCCCTTCTTCATCATCTCTCTCTCCCCCCTTGTGTGCAGCTGACCTTCAAACCCAAACACCCCCCGTTCCCCCCGTCCCACCCCCACCCTGTTAGTATGGAATTGCTATGCTAATGTAGAAATGCTGCTAGTTTCTCTCTGTCTGGCTTCCCTGCAGGAGCTGTATTGGGTCGGAGGTGGGGGGAGTCTTGTGCCGCAGCCCCTCCGCCTCCAAATCAAATCAAATCTCTCTTTCTCTCTCTCGCTATATGTCCCCACACCACTGCATGTCTCCAGCTGATCAGTGGAGGAAAAAAAACCTGGATTTTGTTGTGTTTTTAACTTTCTTTGCTTTTATCCCGTCCTTGTGTGCACTTTGTTTGATCATGTGCCAGCTTGTGTGTTTGTGTGTGTGTGTGTATGTGTGTGCGGACGACGGTGTTGGCCGAACAGTGTCCAGAGATTTGACTGACTCTTTCTCTGAACCTAACCTTATCTTTCCCCGACAGCAAACTTAAGTTGACAGCGCAGAAGATTCACAGAACTTCAGATCAGAGGGCGTCAGAGAGAGGCCTGACTTTGAAACGTGTTTTGACGGGATACATTTCCACTGGCGTAAATGGTGGAAAAGAGAGAGAGAGCGAGGGGAGGGACACGTTTTTTTAATCTAAAATTACACGAACGAAAACGCACGATTCTCGACCCTTTATCGAGCATTTTGCCTCGTGCATATCTCATGTAGGCGTTTACAATCTGAACCTCTGCCGGCCGCGCTACATTTCTATACATGTGATGGTGATTTGAGATTAATCCTCCAGTAGCACAGAGATACACACATGATGACGTTCTGCCCATTTCGCTCTTTATATACCCAACAGAAAGTTAAAAAGACATTTAAAGCTGAACCCAAAGCAAACGAAATCCCACTGATTTAATTTTAAATCTTAACAACATGCCAGGAGAAATGAAAGGGGGTTAATGATATGTAAATGAAATATGGAAAAGTGCCGCAGTGTGAAGAAGAGAATATCAATTGATTTTCTTTCTTTTTTCTTTTTTTTTTTACTCTACAGCTCCGCTTCATGCAGTTTGAATGTGTCGGGTTAGTCGGGGCTGTCTTAATAAGTGAAGCTCTCATGCTAATTATTGACTCTAATTCATTGAAGAGGCTCAGATGACCACAAATAAAGCAGATTGAGCGCTGATCTCCGCAGCACAAACTGCAGGGGTCTGACTGCTTATAGACGTTTTGAGGAGCTGAGGTGTGAATATTAATGCACCCAGTCCTCGGGGAGGTGTCAAGGCTCAGGAAAGGAAACAAATTTAAAGGGTGTTTTGATTTATTTGAATATCAGCTCCGTGCAGCAGAAGCTCAGTCGGTAGGACAAAGTCAATACAGAGGAGGGAGAAAGGGAAAAATGAAACTATGTCCGACTGCTTTAAACCCTGCTAGCAGAGCACGTGCATTGTGCTCGGGCTTTGGCAGCGTTATTCATTTGCCATTTGACTCCTGGCAACATCCATTTCTCTGCGCTTCTTTTTCGTTTTATTTCAGTCCATGCCCTCATCCCCAGAACCACTTGTACTTGTTCCACTCCCCACAGTCGAGCATTAGACCCCCACAGGTGCTCTGGATGTCTGACATGAGGACATGGGGCCTCATGGTAATGTTAGCTTAAGGTCTAATGGACGGTAGAAAGGCTAGTGCGGGTGACCACACACATATCAGGTCCAAGTACACGCACCCTTTTTCTCCGTTTCCTCTTGTAGTTTCTAGCAGTGCAGATAGTTTCGGTTTTATTTCTTCAGGTTTTGAAATATTCCTTTATGAAGTGCAGCAAATGGAATCATTTCTTTCATAATAGCTGCATCATTACAATAAATAAAATAACAAGTAAAGTATGAAAGTATTAAAAGCAAAGTTTTGTTAACATGGCTTTTATGTCACATATTCTATTTGTTGTAGCTGGTGGAGCTTTAACTGCTTTGACTGTGTCATGTATGTAAAGTCTTAATCGGTAAAGGAATGAGGAACTACTGACATGTCGCAGCTTAGAGGTTTAAAGCAAAAACTAGAAAAGCGCTCACTATTTGTTGGGCCTAGGTCCAACAGTCCCCTTATGAAACCACATTTAAATTCACTACATCCAGCTTTTATTTGGATCTGCACCAAATATCAGATTAAATCAAGATCCATTATGAATTATTCTCTGAGAAATCAACGGAAATGTGGAAAACAAAGTTAAAAAGATTCCAGGACACGTCACCTGATCTGGACAGAGTGACATTGATTCTGTAAAGTTGCAATTAATAATATTTTATTATTATTACTTGTGTAGTAAGTTTTTTTTTTTTTGTTGAGGCAGAAATCATGGACCTTTCAAAACTTTTTATAACAGAGATCTTGTTCCATTTGTTTGTTTCTTTTACAACAGACAATAAACAATTGCTTATTAGAAGCTGTTCACCATAAATAAAACGCTCATCATTAATAATTCATCGCCTCTCGACGCCCGTTACTTTACGGCGTAACCATCTGAAACATGAGCTTGAGAGAGATCTGCTTTTCCCAACACTAACAGATGCAGAGTGCCACTAACAATATGCTCCTAATGGCCTGAGGATGCTGCGTTTTTGGCTGCGTTTAGATGAAGTGCAATTTGGCGACGTGCGGACAGGCGCTGTATGTGAGCAACTGCGGGGGCACGTCTCAGTGGACCGAAGGACTTAAATGTAAATGATAGCAACTGTCTGGTCAGCTGCTCCATGAAATGAGAAATCATAGCCAACGTAGACTTCGCAGCGCCCACTCATGTGCATGAGTGTGTGCAATAAATACACTCACAGAAGGGGCAGTGGGAGCGTTACGGAAATAGCCTCGGAGTGGGTGTTTCTATATTTTCCTTTCTCTCGTGGTAGCTGTAACTGTTGCTCTGTTTGTGTGTCGGTGTCTTTCAGGGGGAAGATTCCTCTTCTGTTATCAGTCCTTTCCTCAGGCACAGCTATCATTTAATGGCTGCTGACTTTTCTGTGTCCATGTGTGCAGGCCTGTGTTCCCACGGGACTGCTCCAGCTTCAGGAATGAGCATCCGTCTCCATTATTCCGTCCGTCCCTAAACTCCCTCATTCTCCCCTCAACATTTGTCCACGAGGTCGTAGCCGTAGCGTTCATCTCTTCAACGAGAGACAATAGATCCGAGGGGCTCGGCCGCATGTTCGCATGTGCGTCAGTGCTGAAAGGGAGGGGAGGGAAAGAAGGGGTGAGAAGGAGGGGGTTAATATTAGATTGAGTGACAATAAGGAACAGTGTTGTGACAGTGAGCAGCTGGCGTTTCCGAGTTTTGACAGCCACTGTTGTTGTGTGTTTGCGTGCGTGCGCGCTTGATGGAGACAGATTGTCCTGTGATTGTTCATTTCTGAGCACGGCTCTGCTCATAGGGGTTATTGACGGCATCTGTGGGGGAGACAAAAAAAACAAAAAAAAAACGTGACAAATGGTACTCAACCAAATGTCCCACTTCATTCCACCCCCCTCAAGATATTTTCTACTGATCCAGAGCGGAGCCCTGAAACGTCAACATGTTTGGTTTTACAGCAAACTGTACAGAGGGGGGGGGGGGCTAATTTGAATGTTGTAGCCTATAGGTTCACACGAGAAGCTGCAGTCAAATCATCCATCTGTCATCTACACCCTTTATCCTTGGAGGGAGGGAGGGAGGGTGGGGTTCTCGAGCAAACCTGACATTGAGTCTGAGGAGGGGTAACACCCTGGACAGGTCGCCAACATTTACCTCTTTTTCACCAGAACTTGTGGATCGACGCAGGGTAGACACGGGTAAACCCACTGAAAAAAAGGAAATGACCTCCTTGCCAGTCTTTTCCTGTCTGTTTTTTCCCCCCCGGTGCGTCATGTTCAATGTCACGAACACACTGAAAACGGAGAAGCTCTCTCCCCTTGCTGTCTTTTCAAATTAGCGCACTCACCTGGGTGTCGTGTTTCTATCAGTGCCGATCAGAGCTGAGTAAAACCTTCTGCTGCCGGGGTCATTTGAACCGGGGAGTGAATGCAGATTGTATCTATTCCAATTACAAGAGACAGATGTTTGTGGGTTTTGTGACCAGTGGAAAAAGGGACCATACAGAGCCAATCATCTACGCTCACATTCACATCTACGGGCAATTTAGAGTCTTCAAAAGACAATCTGCATGTTTTTGGACTATGTGAGGAAGTTGCAAAAATCCACACAGACCCAACAAGGATTCAAACCTGGAGCTTTCTTGCAGTGAGGAAACAGTGCAAACCGCTGCACCACCATGCCGCCCTGCAGTCAAAACACCATATTTAAAACTTATAGTTTAATCGGTTTCAGAGTAATTGCTGGGAGTCAATACCACGTGATGTGTATCGTCAAGTGCTGTTGTGACGTCGTAGCGCCCCCAACCCTCTTTCTGTGACACGGCTCTGTAGCAACCTGTGTGCTTTGTATGATGGCACCATATGCTGTAGTGCTTTCTAACCGTGTCCAACATGTAACCTCCGAGCTCTCACCTCCGCCTGTGTTTACACAAACATGTCACAGGTCACACGTGTTGATTCTGTGCCTTTTTCCGTGTTCTTGCGTGCTTGTGCCACAGGTCGCGGTCTATTAGCGGAGCCTCCTCTGGCCTCTCCACCAGCCCCCTCAGCAGCCCACGGGTAAGTCACAATCCAGATCGCACTTACACAAAATACAACACACAGCTACAGTATGTCGGGATAACGCCCATCAAGATCCTGCTGATCCCATGTTAAAGATGGTCACCACATCAGTTCTGACCCTTGACAAAAAGTAGGTGTATTGTTCTGCTTCTTAAAGGGAAAGTTCACCCTTCATCATCCACTCACCACTGTGCAGATGGAGGTGGTGGGTGAAGTGTTTGAGTCCACAAAACACGTTTGGACTTTCAGGGGTAAACAGCGTTGCAGCTAAGTTCAAACCACTTCTAAGTCTTAATCCAAAGTTCAGATGTAACTTTTCACTGTGAGGACGCAGGGACACTATGATGATCTCCTCATAATGTGATGTTGGATCATCACTGTGTCTGTATATAGTTTTGATCTTTGTTTAAACTCAATGTCAGAATAAGGACGAGGGCAAAAAGGTTTTTAAAAGTTTTGTTTTTAAGAATTGAATTGAATTTTTTATTTAATTAGGGTAACAGTAGATGTTACTTCCCCCACTATTATTATTATTGTTATTATTATTATTCGTAATATATGATTTCATATCAGAACATTCTGTGTGTTTTCATACCCGATGCACAAAATGTAAAATGTGACATTGACGAGCGTGATGAAGAATAAACCTGCGTCCTGTGTGGACTGTTCATAGTTGAATATGGTTAAGTCTGTTAAACTAAAACTCCAAAACTACTCACACAATCACACATATTTCACTGCTGCTCTACATTTGATGTAACGTCAGTAAGTTTCTCAGCACCTCCACCTCCTCACTGACTCCCTGTGCACAAATCGCTGATGGAAACGCACAATGTGGACGTGACAGCACATAATCCTCTTCTCTCTCCTCTTCCTCTCTGATGATTATCCTCCTCTCTGTTTTCTGTGGCCTGAGCTCTGTGGAAATCCAGCTCACAGGCTCTTTCAGAAAAAAAAAAAAAAAAAA